GCGGTCCTGGTCTGTATTATGGCAATGTAAGTTGCCATAATACAGACATTGACTCGAGTATAAGCCGAGGGGTGCTTTTTCAGAACAAAAAATGTGCCGAAAAACTCGGCTTATACTCGAGTATATACGGTATATCTATTTTTTGATCCAGTACAAAATTGGTGTCGCCACATATTATCAATTTTCTTATGACCACTTTCATTATCTTATTCCAAAGACGTCTCAAATATTTTAACTGATTAGAATTCAGAACGTAAACATTTACAATGGTATAAGTCACATTATTTACTTTCCCAGCCCAGATGATAAACCTGCCACTTTCATCAACTATGATCTTATCAGTGGAATGATACACATCTCGATTTGGTCTTGTATGTAGAGTGGAAAATTCTTTATCATAATATTGCGATTTTATCTTTAAAATGGGTCTCTTGAATACAAAGTATATCTGCTTTTTGAGTTCTAGCTTCTTTGGCTATTAATCTTCTCTTACGCGGAGTGTTAACGCCCCATACATTGTATGACAGTATTTTTAATACCATAACAAATTAATAATTTTATAGACTGTATTATTTGTTTTGTCAAATCTAGTTTTAACTGAAAGGCCTACAACATCAGCACAAGAATAATCAAAGCATAGCAGAATTACTAAAGTTTCAAGGAAAACGTTATAATTAATTTCCAGAAAATCATATACATTAGGTTGAATGGTAAACATAACTGTCTATGGTATGTATAATGTATCCATATTTCTCGGCATAATATTCTGTAAAAATAATATTGATTACTTGGATGGATGACCAGGGGACAAAAAAGGAAAAATAAAACGTACAAAAATTAGGGATAAAAACTTGGATTCTGACTTCCAAATGAAGCCAAGTTACAAAAAAAAATATATATACAAAAGTAGTATAGACCATTGGTTTAGAAGAAAAGAATGTGTCTCCAAACCCATTAAAAAAACAAAACAAGTGCCTACACAGTGGGGGTAGAGATGGTGGCAGCAGGGCATGGTTGTAAATTTGTATTATGTAGCCAAAACTATCACAGAATTATTAAACAACAAGATCAGTATAACACTAACATTAGTATTATCCACACACATCAAATATTTAACTAGAAAAAGAGGGGCATTCATTTTTCAACCAATTGTTTCTTGGGCACAGCATCTTAAAATAAAAGGTGTATTCCTTCTGTATTTCTTCTAAAGCAGTGATTCTCAAACCAGTCCTCATGGCCCACCAACAGTCCAGGATTTATGTATTTCCCTGTTTTATTCCAATGGAGATACTAACAAAACCTGGACTGTTGGTGGGTCTTGAGGACTGGTTTGAGAACCACTGTTCTAAAGGAAACTGTAATCAATAGATGGTAATGAAGCAAAATAAATATAATCAAAAACATATCTTTGTTTGTTCTATAAGAAAAATATTTAGCAATCAAGTAACTAAGAAAAGGTTTCACAGATTAAATTAAATTTCACAGATAAATAAAAAAAATTAAATTCAGCCATATCCCAACAAGCGGTATTAGCAACTATAAACACAATTCCAGGTGGTACAGCACCAGGACCAGATGGCTTTACCATGATATATTACAAATATTTTTCCAAAATACTTTTGCCATATCTAACAAATGTATTTAATACATTCTGGACAGAAGGAAAGATGCCAGGGGAGTCCTTGTGCGTGCAAATCATCACTCTACCGAAGCCGTGCAAGAGTCAGGACTGCTGTGTTAACTTTCAGCTGATTTCTTTAATAAATAATGATATCAAAATCTACAGTAACATTTTGGATGAGAGATTGGCACAAATTGTCCCTATAGTAGTTGATAAAGACCAAATGGGTTTCATTGAAGGGAAACAGGCCCCGGATGGTACAAGGAGATATATAAACCTAATAAATTATATTAAAACAAATCAAACGCCTTCTCTACTCCTTTCCTTGGATGTGGAGAAGGTGTTCGATAGGGTCCACTGGAACAATTTGAGGGAAACTCTGCTCAAATTTAATATACCCACCTCCTTTGTTAAAGCATTTTTTGCATTATATCAAAACCCAACTGCAAAAGTTTCTGCTACAGGTTTCACCTCTGATAATTTTGTAACTAGTGGAACTAGACAGGGTTGCCCATTGTCCCTGATATTACTTGCTCTCGCGATGGAACCATTGACCGCATTAATAAGTAAATCACCAGAGATTAAGGGAATTTCAGTTAAAAATATTGAATATAAAATAGGTCTCTTCGCGGATGATATTATCCTATTTTTGGCAGAACCCAAAACTTCAGTTGACTCCCTAAATTCTATACTACAGGAGTTTGGGGAAGTCTCATTTTACAGGCTCAATACAGGAAAAACGCAGACTCTACCTATATACATTCCTTGGTGTGATCTAGATGATTTGAAAACTAAATTTGACTTTAATTGAAAAGACTCATTTGTTCATTAACTTGGAATAAAACAATGCAAAAATGTAAACTTAAAATAGCATTTAATCTTAAAATAGCTTGTCCAATATTAAAAAAGGAAATGGAAAACTGGAATAAGTTGGAACGTTCCTGGTTAGGTAAAATTACATCTATTAAAATGAACATCTTACCTAAAATACTATACTACTTGAGAACTATTCCCTTGTCAATTCTGAAGACATTCTTTAAAACAGTTCAATCTGCTCTAAATAAGTTTATATGGTGAAATAAGATGAGCAGAATTAAATTTTCAGTATTGCAAAATTTCAAGTCTCGTGGAGCTTTAGGGATACCTAATTAAAAAAAATATATATATAAATTACCAGGCAACTAATGCCGCTACAGCACTTAAGTTTGGACTACAAAGTCAGATTCCACTCTGGCTTGAGATGGAAAACGATAGGATGTCACCATATTCTATTAAAGAAGTACTGTGGCTTCCGATGTCTGGGCGACCCAGGATAGCTGTGATGTTTCCCACTACTAAGGTTACCATCAAAGCTTGGGATACTGTGTTTAAGGTAGTCGGCCCTTCCTCTGGGTGGTCGCGAGTAATACTGCTGTCTGTAGTAAAACTAGATTTTCCTGATTTAAATTTGGATAATTGGCACACTAAATCAATTCAAAATTTAAATGACTTTTTCTTAGGTAATTCTTTGTCTTTTATGAAACTTCAAGATAAATTTGGCCTAGAAGATAATAGGCAATTAGAACACAAATTAATTATTAAAATAAGATACATTTTCCATTCAAAATTTAGATCACAATTATACAGAAAATGCATTATCTGATCTGGAAAAAAACATACTTACATAACCCTAATAAACGCGGTACTATATCTCAATGTTACTCTTACCGAATGCCCACACCTAGATTAAAAAATGATTACATGCTTGCATGGGAAAAAGATATGGGAACTTGTTATGACCTGGAAGAATGGCTTAAATTTGTACCAGCTCTTAAAGGAGTTACACAGTATTCAAATCATTGGGACAACCACTTCAAAATAATTTATAGATGGTATTTATCCCCCTATAGGTTGAATAAAATGAACTCCAGATATTCTGATAAGTGTTGGAAAAACTGTGGAATGATTGACTCGTTTTCACATTTTTTTTGGTATTGACATAAACTCATAAAGTAAATTCTAATATTCCTGTACTCACTTCAGAATTGGCTTTATTCAAATTCTTCCTTGATACCATTGAGAAAATTGATAAAATTATAATTGGACATATCCGTTTAGCTGCTACTCATCCCCAGATACTGGAGGTCACCAACATTCCCTACTATTAAATAAGTTTTTAATTTTATACTAGAAAATAAGGGGTACAAACTGGCTCTCAGAAAATATTCTTTGCAGTTAGATAACCTTAGACACTAGTGGGACAAATGGGAAACAAAGATTAAAAGAGTATATATGTTTTGATTGCTTGCATAAAGAAATGTATTTGGAAAATTGTTTGACAACAAAAAATGTTATTCTATTACACAATTATTTGTACTAGCTATTGTGTCATGTTATTTATACTAGAATGGGCTACAGTCATTAGAATTTAAGTTGAAAAAAGCGATTGTGGATGGATGGATGCACTACCCTTCCCCTTTTTTCCTTTTTTCTTATTACCCCTCCCCCCTTTCAATTTTTAATTTTTAGTTTTACTTATTAACATTGCAATTTAATTGCATAGTTCAGTCATACCAATATGTTATCACAATGAAAATGGACTATAAAGTGCCTGTTCAATACTTAATGTATGGTTATTATCTCTTTAATAAAATATAATTGAAAAAACAATTATTTGAAGGCTGCTTGTGGGCATTCTGCGTATGTGTTGATATGAAGGCTACTGAAGCAAGAACTGCAAGTGAATTCAAAGTGAATTTGAAATTTTGAAAAAAGAGCTGCTGAGATTTTCCAGGTAAAATTCACTTTGAATTCCTACTTTAGTGAATGACCCTGTGTGTGTATGTGTTGAGTAGAAGCTTGCAGTGTTGTGTGCTTGTGGAGGCTGTGTGTGTTGTGTGTTTGGTAAGGCTGTATGTGGGAAGTGAATTTTGTGGGAAAAATGTGTGCGAAGGCCAAGGCTGTGTGGTAGGAGTCTAGGAGTGATGTGTAAATATTGTGATTCCAGCCTCACCACCATATTTCAGTATTCAGTTTAGATTTATAAGACTGCTACTGCAGTAACAGTCTTATGTAGCAAAAGCTCACCTGCAGCAAATAATGAGAAAACTATGTTGTGAAATTGTTGATCCGTCATAAAATGCAATGGAGCTCATGCTGAGATATTACACATTTGTGTTAAAAGAACACAATGGGTCCCATACCAAAGTTATCATAATTAAATTGTAATTGTACAATAAGGTAACCACTGATCATTACCAGCAGCTACCTATTCACAAAATGGCATAAATAAAATATAATAATAAAGAAAACAGAGGTATCCAATCTGATCACAACAGGGATGGGGAGGCTACACGCCTGAAAGGAAGGGTAACCCTCAAAACCCCTCAAAGGACTGGAAAAAAAGAAAACAACAAGTACAGGGTGCGCCAAGAACAAAGTGAATAAATAAAATAAATAATAGAATTATTCACTTTGTTCTTGGCGCACCCTGTACTTGTTGTTTCCCATAAATAAAATATGCATGTTTCTTAAGCCAGTATATGAATGGGGTGCTATTGAGAGAACATCAACTTAGGCTCTCAGCCTATCACTGGCTACTAGTCTGGGGTTACCTGATTTTAGCCTCAACCAGCAGTGGATGTAACTGGGCAGAGGGATCGTGCAGTTGAACCCTTTGAGTTAAGCTGGCCATCGGGGTCATCTTATCACCTTTACAACTTTATTCCAATTAAGTGGTTTTGGTGCATGGAATGTCCCTTTAAATGATGCCTACAAAAAAATGTAATCATTGACCTAATAAATCATAAACGTGTAGGTGTGATCTTTGGTCATTCAATCAGCTTAGAAGTTGCTAATGCATTGTCAGTATATTTATATCGGCAGGCATTTTGTGCTAAGATAGAAATTAAAAGTGTATATTGCCAGAGTCACTCAGAACAGAGCAAACTCCATTTTGGATTCAGGCTAACAAAGACAGACACAACATTTCTTTGCTTTCTGTAACTAGCCAAACCAGGCTGAGCTTAGGAATGCTTTATGTAAACAAAGCAATAAAGTCTCCCAGCAAGGATGGGGGATGGATTACTAAGTCCAGAGACAAGTATATACATTATATACACTTCTATATATATATATAACCATTATACACTTATTTACTATTATATTAAATACATATAATCAGTATTATGTTAATAATATAGACCATTCATGGATAAATATTCATGAAGACATACAATATTATTTAATAAATATTAGTGGAATAGAAAATGTCTCACAGCTTCTCAGAAAGCCAGACACCAATGACCAGATAAGACTCAGTAATTAATTTTACTTTCTAAATTTTACAAGGTCCCATTGTAAGTAAGGGGTGAAATTGAGTTTAGAACTGTCAATTTTAGAAATTACAACAGGAATTGTCGACGCGCTGTCGGGAGAAAATCCAAAGAAACGTTTTCAACTGATAGCAAATTTAAGTTAGGGCAGTCATTTTAGATAAGCCAAATGACGTCAAAATCGTTATCAGGAAAAGTTAACTCTTTCCTGGATAGGAAAGTTTAGTGAGGCGAGAGTGCCCTCTATGAACCAAAAATCTAAATTGCGATCTGCAGGTTGACCACACCTTCAGTATCCTATTGGTTTTACCAACTGATGACGTAGAAAGAATCTTTCCCTTTAAAAAGTTAGGACAAAGGGAAGAGAGAGGTTAGTTTTGGGCTTTCAGATTGAAATTCAGATTCGGGACGAGACTCCTGAGACAGACAGACCCTCAAACAAACAGAGTGAGGAGAGAGACACAGAACACTTAATTTCACTATCTCTTTGCACACACATAACCACACTTCAGTTCCTGGGATTACCTAAGAGCATCTGATGAGAACATCTACATCATAACTGGTAATTATGCTGGTTTTATTTAATTAATCTAAATTAATTAAAATCTATTAATAGCAGGATACATGCATGGATAAATCACGATCAGATCCCATAATTGAGGAATCTTAATTAAATAAAGAATATGTAGTTATAACACTCCATTCTGCAGGTGGAGTCAGATAATTACATAGTACTGGTATCTTACCACGTGTTAGCATACCGCTGTTTTTATCCATGTGTGTTGATTTGCTCTGAAATATGATAAGATATCTTTTTAGGATGGTACAGGAATTGATTAATGATCTGGTTGAATGTTATTTTAATTAAAAATAGCAATAGAATAGGATATTCTATGCCTAAGAGGACTAACCAGCATTGAAAGGGTTACTCAATTGATCTAACTGTTAGCCAAGGTTTTATGGCTTTTCGCTGAAAGTTTAGCTTTCTGTGTCTGTGAAACACCTCATTAATCTTACTAAGTGACAGTTGATGCTGTTAGCCGTTGGATTGTTTTAATATTGCCATTGTATTGCATACTTATGTTATACTAAACATTCACTGATTGTTATCATGCATGCTGCCTAATATTATTATTATTGTATTTGTCACAATAAATTATATCTATTTTTATAACAAATTGTGATTTTATTTGTATGGAATACATTTCACTTACACGATGACGATCTCTAAGATCTAAGAGAATTGAAATAGTGGGCAATTCTCAACTGTATAATATTATCACCCCATAAATATCCCCACAGCATCAAATTTTAAAGTTGGATGGCAAAATTCCTTACAACATTCAGCAGGTAAGAGTAACTTTGATCATTTTAAATCGCTTTATAGTTAAAGCCTAGCATCTAATTGACCTGTGATATTCTGGTACAATTAAACATGTATTTAATATGAATCATTATCTGTTACAATATTATCTTGTTATATCCTCAACAAAGGGATTTGAATCATGGGTTATATTTTAGCTGAGAAGTGGATTTTAATTGTATTTCTGCTTGACTTAATCTTACAAAATATTTTCTGTATATTTTTTTAACAAGGTTACATTGAAATACCAGTGCAAACTCTTATTACATTGTATAATGAAAGAAGCAAAGAAGTAAAAACCATGGCAGCTAATTTTATCAAGATATTTTTCTGTAGATAGAAACAATAAAAATAAATGACTAAGGAAAGCAGTACATGAAACACAATTATATTTAACAACTGGCTACGTAGAGTAAAGAGGTTTTTTGTTTTTTTAACTCCAGTCATTCTTATTAATTCCATTTGCAACAAGGGACACCTAATGAAATTAAGTAACATTCAATCACAATAGGTTGTAAAATGCACTGGCCACTAGAGCTGAAATAAAATCCAAGGAGAGGATTTAATTTGGCTAAGCGATAATTACAGGATCAGGATATTATTTGCATATAGATAAGTTTTTAAACTCAGCCTAGGGAGAGATTAGATCCTATGCATGGCATTCACAGATCTATTCTCTACCAAACATGATTCAAAGTAACATACCAATATAAAAGGGTTTTATTTATAGGCTGAAGGAAAATATTGCAATTTGGAATATATCATTTATATAATCCTGCAATGTAAAATGATATATTGAAACTTGGAATTATAGAGTGGCACTAAAGGGAGTAATATCAGAAATTAGTGCGGTTTACTCTTCAGAGAAGACTGGGCCGGCAGCCAAAGTTATTACTTTTTCAGGTGTAAAATAAATCAAATGAGCATTAATGTATTTTTTATTCACAGTGTAAGACTGACTTTAATACACTTGTAACAAGGAGGTTGCATGTATTTGGTTACACTATAACCATTATGGAAAAACACAAAATGTCACTCTTGGAAACTACATAGTTATACATATCCATTTAAAGTATAGTATTAAGAAGTGGAGCGATATCTTATCGCTCCACTTCTTAATACTATACTTTGAATATTCTGTATGCGGTGAAGGGATCACTTTGAAGTGTGGTAGCTAGTATTTATGAAATATTTGGGACTATACATAGCCTTTAAATAGCTCTATTTTTGCCCATATAGAGTCTTTGTATACATAGCGCTCCAGTATTGTGTATTCTATTTTATACATATCCATTTGCAAGTAAAAATTCAGCCCTTAGCATGCCATAGACCCTCCAAGCCTGCAGTGGTGAAAAACCAATCCACAAAACAAATGTTATACCATACCTCTTTTACTCTGTTTAGCCATTTGTGTAAACTTTAAAAATGGTCCATAAAGTGGAATTGTCATCGTCTGTGGACTTTGTATTATTTCCAATACCCCAATTATGGCATTGGTGCAAGGGGGTCAGTGGCCAGGGGGAAGAGGGAAAGTTGAGTTTGACTTTCCTGAACCTGGTTCTCTTATAGGAGCCGCCATCCTCTTCTGGACGGTCATCTTCTGTACCTGGTGTTTCAGCTCCAGGAGCAAACACCACTGCTGTAGTCTTGCGCATGTGCAAGAGTACAGCATTTAAATTTGCAGGGGACACCACAGGATCCTCCTTAGGCAAAGCTAATTCCCTGTAGCTAATTGACACTTCTTGACGGTCCCTGCTTTGTCTCAGTATATCTTTTGACTGGTTTGGAATTACAGTGCTTGTGCTGCACCTTTGTATAATTGAGTATGTCTGTGTGTATCTGCCCTCCTCAGTGTGCACCTATGTGTGCTTGTGTGTGTTTGTGCATCTATGGCTTTAAGTTTACATCTGTGAGTATTGTATCTTTATGTATTTAACTAAATGTGTGCTTATGTGTGTGTAAGTGTTGTCTTTATGTTTATCTGTGAGTGTTACAGAGATGTATCTAGCAGGTGTTAAATGGTGGGGTTTTGGGGTGGGGTCACCAAGTTTTGAACTCAATCACTCGGTCTACTTTGACCCCTAGCAGTGCCTGTAGTTGCAGGTTAGCTATACTATTGCTATTATTGCAAACATGGAATAATAAAACCTTGGGAGATCTTGATCATCAAAATATAGCAGATGAGGGGGACATGGCAGGCTGAGCAACAGAGCGGACGCTCACTGCTGGAGCTCCGCGAGACACGCTGAATATAGTCGAACATCCACAAAATATAGACCCCACAGGTGACATCCCCACTCACCCTCCAACAGAGACTACCATGGGGCGCAAAAATAGAAAGAACCAGCTGCCGGTGACCCCGAGATCGCAAGATATCAGGCTCTCCTTTGAGAGGTCTGCAGTCGCGATCGCGGCTCCCGCCAAAATGACGCCCGCGGCCCGGGATGCAGAGGAGGCCTCAGATGCATCCCAGGAGGAGGGAGAAGATTATCCAGAAACGGACTCCGACGAGGACTCCTTCCCAGTGACTAAAGGGAACATTAAACACCTCCTGCAGGACATAAGGCAAGTCTGGAAATCGGACCTGAAAGAGGCCCAAACAGATATAAGGGACCTCCGCAAGAGGGTCTCCGAAATAAAGACTTAAGAGCAATCCAGGGAAAGCCAGATGCAGGATACCCACAACCAAATAGATGACCTGGCCACACAGGTGCAGAAACTCACCCGGTCGCTGACCGCACTGGAATCCCGCCACAGGCGCAAAAATTTATGCATACGGGGAATCCCTGAAACAGTGAGTGAAGAAGCTCTG